ATGGGCAAACTTCGATCTTCTAGGTGTTTTCTGACTTCAACTCCCACAATTCCCAACAGCCGGAATTCGATAGCCTAAGTTTGCCCATGCCTGCTCTAGCATGTGTTGTTTGAGCTATTTTATTCTGTCTGCCTAAGGACCTTATCACATTGGAATATAATCTATTTATATCAGTATGCAACCCATATATTTTTAATGGATGTATACTGTATTGAGATAGGATGCATACTCTCCTTGTCACACCTGATTATTACAATACTTACATTTTGAAAACACAGTGCTTTTCCTCATCACACCAGGGAAGATTGGCTCCTCCCAATCCATTTTAATGCCTCCTTATGTCACTTCCTTTTTTAAAAAAATCCTAATATTGCACAATGATGTAGCATGGAAGTCTCCAACTATCATTCTTTAAGATTTTAGCTGATTTTGAGATCACATGTAAAAACAGTGCCTCAGATTGTATAAAATCATAGTAAATAATCCCGTATGTAATTACTCAATTTCTGAGACTTTTTGCAGTTGGATTACTGGTGGAATGGGGCAAACATCATGTAATAGGAACCATTAATAATTGTGTTCAGTGTTTCAGAAACTGCATATATCCCAATGTGATAAGGACCTAAGTGTAGGGCTAGGTTTGCTTATATTTGGTCTTATACATTATATGAACAGACATACTGCTGTAATATGTTTTAAGTTTTCACCAACATCAGATGTTTGGCAACCTACTTATGAAAGAGTTTATATGTGTAACACTGCAATCTTCCTTACTTTGATTTCACATAAGTATTCCTTTTATTTCCTTGTGCCTGAAAGATATATGCATGCAACATAAAATTTTCATACTAGTCATTCCTGTTCTATAAACAATCCTCAGATCATTTTTTCTTTCTCTTTTGAAAGATTAATATGAATAAATTTGTACCTGCAGCATAATTAATACAAAAATAAATGTTACATAAGACCCACATACTCCCACTACTTCAAAACCCTTGAAGACAAAAGAATTTATCTGGAGCTTTGTTCTGACAAACAGTAGCCATGCTAAAGCTTGTTAAGTGCTGCACAAAGTGATCCCTCTTTAAGGTAAGAGTAGATTGCTTCAGAAGATCAGTCCACAAGGCTGCACAACAGTATGCTGATAAGGGAAAACATTTATTTATTCAGTTATTTGTTTGTGTATTTATTTGCATAATTCTATCTCACCCATTATTGTGGGATTTCAGGGCAACATATAAATAAAATGATAAACAGTTAAAAAGAAATCAAATCAAAACATTAATATGGCCAAAACAGCCAGAAAGCATTAAAATACAGTAAATATGTGTTAAAACAATGTAAAAAGTCACAGCATTTAAAACCATGTACATGTGCAATGAAATTAAATTAATGGCTGTAACTTTATTAAAAAGCCATGTCTTGGCTTGACAACAGGCATGTAGCCGGGGGGGGGGGGGGCTTGAGGGGCTTCAGCCCCCCCCCCCAAATTCTCAGGGTGGTCCACGAGAAGGCCTTACTGGTACATTATTTAAACTCTTGTTCATTCATATCATGATCTGATCCCATATGCATGCTCAATATATCCCCCCCCCCTGAATCAAACTCAGCCCCCTCCAAATCAAAATGCTGGCTACGTGCCTGCTTGACATCAAAAAGAAATCAACATTTGTGCCAGTTGGACCTCCAAGAGGAAGGTATGTTCATAACTACATTGCAACAGACAAGAAGGCCTTCTTCAATGTCCCCCCAAACCATATTTTGCCCAACCAGTGGGACACCAAGGAAATCTCCTGCAAACCACAGTCTTTGATTATGTATATTGTCTAGTTCCTTCAAGTACAAAAAACAGGTCTGAAACTTCAGTTCTGGTTCTCATAAAATTGATATTTTTCTATCATACAGGACATGAAGGTTTTGCATTCTATTTTAAAAGTAAAATTTCATACCTAGGAGCTTGAAGGAGCAGCAATTCAACTTTTTGGGAGCAAATTATAGGGGATTTGGGGATTCTAGAAATATAACTGTACTGCATTGTGTCTGAAAATGCTAAAATGTACAGTTGGTTCACATGGATGCTCTTTTTAGTAGCAACAGATCAAAAGCATATAAATGGAAATAAATTGCTCCACTCTTCATGGGAAATAACACATCCATTTCCCACAATGCCCTTTTCTTAATTTTCATAGTTTTGAATTTCCAAGTCAATTTAGACATTCTACGAAGTATAGTTACTATATATGTGTTCGTTTGTCTGCTGGTTTCTGATCTGTGACTTAACTTATATCCACAAAAAAATTCAGTAAACTTAATTTCCTAGTGGAAAAGCAGAAAGCATTATGCTTATAAGTGTGATCAAATCCATACACATTCTCTATTCAGATTATGATGCCTAGCAGAATTCTTGCTGCATTATTGAGAGCAGAGGTGTTTGTTTGCTTGAAGCAGAGTACAATTATGAAGTGTGCGCTGGCTGCATAGTTAATGATGAAAAATAAACAGAAAGAAGGCAATAGATACTTGTTTTTAAAAAAATAAAAAACAGCAAAAGTTGACTTCTGTCAGAACAAAATATATAAATTAAGAATGGACAGTAAGATCAGCAATTTGGAAGTCAAATTGATTTTATTCATAATAATTCATCATTTATTTATTGAAGGATGTTTGAAACAAATTTCTGCTTGGTACATTATTCTCATCTGACTGTACAAGAGAGGTGAGGTGAGCTGATATTAATCTTCCAGCTGAGAGGAATCTTATTACATGTCCAACTGTGAAAGCGTCTTTTGCAGACAGCAGCAAAAAGCTTCTGCTCAAAGAACTTATTTTCTTCAACAGAGGCTGATTTGAGAAGATGAGCATCTATATTTCTTTCACAGGACAGCCTAAAGTATGATGTAGTAGACAGTTTAGATCCAAATACATCCTCTTCCATGAAACTCTTTGTAACATTCCCACTAGGAGGTAGAAGATTATGATGTATTCTACCAGGGTGAGGGAGGGAGGCTGCTTCACAACAATACACGTGGCATATGAAGCCCATTTGTCCCAAGTCCCATTCAAAGACATGAAACTTTGTTACTGCAACTAAACCAGGAACAAATATCCAAATAGCCAAGATAATGCTGGTTTAATTAGGTCTTTACTCTGATTTAGAATGACTATTATGATGTTATTTAGTGTCATATAGTCTCAGCATGCACAATGCATTCAGCTAGTCATTAGACTTATTCTTTGTGGGTTTCACGATTCCATTTTTAAAGCTATCTAAGCACTATGCCAATGAATTCCATGAATTATATGTTGTTTGAATGCCAGTATTCTGTATTACATTTGCTCCTACTCTAAATCACTGAACAACTATGAGATCTTGTATTTTAAGGAAGGAGAAAAACTGCAGATCTTCACCTAACACTACTATATGCTTTTTCGTTATTTTAATATGCTGTCAAACTGAATTTGACATATGGGAAACATATGAATGAGAAAGCCTGTTATTAACATCCATGATCAGGCCCTGCAAACTAAAGGCCATAGCTTCATTGACTGAGACAATCCATTTCTTATGTGCTCTTTTTTTTCTCTAATGCCTTCACCTTTGAATGAGCATTGTTGCCTTTTCCAACAGGTCATGTCCTGTCATAACATGGCAAAAAAAGAGCTTCTGAATTCAGGAAGAACTTTCCAGTAGCTAACTTGTCTAGTGTGAGCTGTGTGTCTGACCCAGCATAGTTTGACTGTTTGAGCATTGAACTATGACTCTGGAGATCAGGATTCAAATCCTCACTCAGCCATGGAAACCCACAGGGTATTTTTAACCAAGGTACACATTATCATCCTCAGAGGAAGGTAAAGACAAACTCTCTCTGAAACAAGTCTTGCCAAGAAAATCCATTATAAGTTCACCTTATGAGCCACCATAACTCAGAAACTACAAGAAGGCACACAACAAGATCATGAGGTCCAATGTTGCTTATGTTTGAATACATGTTTATAGAATTGTACTATAAAGATGATAACTGAGGGGAAAACAGTGAATTTACTAATTAGGAAATTGCCCAGGAATAATAAATGTAACTCGTGACTCCATCAGAAACGGAATCTAGGTGCCTATCCAATGCATAAATCTAGCTCCAACTGAAAGCCTTCCCCACTTCTGACATTAAATGCTGCTTTAATTGGAAAGCATGGTGATTCCAGTTCAATGACTTGCTGAATATTTTAACCATGAAAGTAATACCTGGTTTTGTTTGTTTGTTTTCTTCTCACTCTTGATCAATTTCTTTCCTTTTGTGTTGTGTCTGATTTCTGGTATTCTTTTTCTTTTGCTGAAAGAAAGTTCAAAGGACTTTAAATTAATAAAATTACATTAGAGGATGTGGCAAAAAATCCCTGAATTTCAAAAAAGAATATTTAACAAATTATGGGTCTGGGTAATAATTCATCTCCCATCCTATGGCATCTTCTTCCATCTTAAGACAGTGGTTCTCAACTTGCAGGTCCCCAGATGTTTTGGCCTACAACTCCTAGAAATCCCAATCAGTTTACCAGATGCTAGGATTTCTGGGGGTTGAAGGCCAAAACATCTGGGGACCCACAGGTTGAGAACCACTGTTCTATTAGGGGTTTTTTTTATCGTGTCAGGAGTGACTTGAGAGACTGCAAGTCACTTCTGGTGTGAGAGAATTGGCCGTCTGCAAGGACCTTGCCCAGGGGATGCCCAGATGATTTGATGTTTTTATCATCCTTGTGGGAGGCTTCTCTCATGTCCTCACATGAGGAGCTGAAGCTGATAGAGGGAGCTCATCCGCCTCTCCCCGGATTCAAACCTGCGACCTGTCGGTCTTCACCAGAAGCAGAAGCAAAGGCTATCCTCAGACAAATACCACCACCAATTATTATTGATGAACAACCTTATCACATTATGGTGTTGTTTAGCTACACTTACTATAAGAATGACTGCTCATGTCATAGCAGACTGTATTCAYGTGTGACTGAAAGACCACACGGTTTCTACTTAAACTGTACAAGGAACCCCATTTAAGGTTAAAAGGCGATTACTGAAATGAAAACTTCTATCCTATTAAACACACAAGAATTCATTTAATTGTTCCCAGAACATAAAATCAGTGTAACAGAGCTTCATTCATTTTTCTTCTCTTTGTGYTTGAGGAGTTTGTTGACCTCCCTTTTTGCCATTCCGGCATACTTTGAAATGATTCCATGTTTGTTTAATCCAGGAAACAACAAGAAGCAGCTCACAATAAGGTAGGTGAGGAAGAGATTATGAACTTGCTGTCTAATCCAAGCAATCACAGCCAGAGAACACAGCATTGTCATGAAGTACATTTTTGGCTTCTCCTCCTTAAATGTGAAAAGGCGTTTCCACCAACCGACAATTCTACGACGTGTTTTTATCAGGTTGCTGCAGATTTCACGTTGTTGTTGTTCGGTAGTCCATTTACTGGAACCAAAAATCCGAGGAGCAAGAGCAGGTACCAGATAGTCAGCCAAACAAAGCAACATAACAAAACAAGAAACACCTGAAAGAACAGATGGATCCAAGTAGTAGATCATCAGAAAAATGAAGGAAACTACAGCAATGATGGCAGGTGGAAACCATGCTTTTTCCCAGCGCAGGATTTTGTCAGTCACTAAAATCACTTCACCCCATCCTTGTAACTGCTCCTCCAAAGCAGCTGTTTCAGCAGCCAGCTGGTTGGTGCTCCTGTTGTTGCCTTCCGCCATTTTGTCCGCCTTTGACAGCTCCCCTGTCGGTCTTCAGTCCTGCCGGCACAGGGGTTTAACCCACTGCGCCACCAGGGGCTCCTTCTATTAGGTTAATTCCTCACACACAAAAGGTTTGGGAAACAAAACAAGCTCGTCAAAGTTGGATCTACCCCACAGGGTTGATTCAACACCCAACAATCCCCTTTTCTCTCAAAATCCCTTTAGAGCAGTGGTTCGCAAACTGCAGGTCCCCAGGTGTTTTGGCCTACAACTCCAAGAAATCCCAGCCAGTTTACCAGCTGTTAGGATTTCTGGCAGTTGAAGGCCAAAACATCTGGGGACCCACAGGTTAAGAACCACTGAGCTAAGATCATAGAATTTTCCACTTTTCATTTTCACTAAATGTCTTTTTTTCCAGAGAAACATTTCCTGACTATTAACTCCACCTGACTATTAACTCCACCTTAAAGGGCCAGACCCAAAATTGCCTTCAATACAGAGTTTATTAAAACAAAGGAAAAAGGATGCTGAGGCACTTAAATGCAGTGCCACTGGTCAAAACTCAAGAAATAACCAATCCTGGTTCAAAAAAGCTTTACAGGAATATAATCCGGATTAGTTGTATAAAAGAAACGAATCAAACAAAGTGTTCTGAGGTCAAACAAAAGGCACAGTACACAACTGGTTAACAAAGGAGGAGCCGCAGGAAGAGAAGCGTCATCAGCTGAAGTCCAGGATCAAAGCGCGAGAAATCCAAGACAGCGCAGGTCCAGAATCCGTAGAAGCAGCGTCTTTAGCCAAGCTGATCCAGGTCCAGGAAGGGAGAAGTCCACACTCAAGAGAAGCCAATCCAGGTCAATAACAGGCAAACGATCAAGAGATTCAAACTGCAGATCCCAAACCAACACCGAACACGAAACTGGCAGCAACAAGTCTCACAGCACCCAAAACACAAACGTATTCCAACACCTTGCCTTCTGCAAGGACCCCTCATCCCTGAACCCACTGTTATTTACAACTCATCATCAGAAGATGAAATGACCACTGCCCCATCATTATCCCCCGCAGCTGCTTCCAGCTCTTCACGTGAGCCACCTTGTCTTCCCCTCCAAGTCCTCCGTCTTCTGTCAAGACTTAGATTCCCCACAACTCAGTTGGATTCCCTGATTGCCAGTCATCACCCCCCGAGAACCCCATAAAGGTATCACTAGTTGTTGGCTCCTCACAAATAGCTTGCACTTCTCTTATCTTAGTCCAATCCAAGGTGTCTTCTTCTTCGCCTTCACTCATTAACCCATCATCCCCAGAGAATCCCTCAAACGACTCCTCATCTGTAGGTGCTGTAAGTATGTCCTGGATCCTCTTTCTCTGCTGCTCATCATCAGACTCCTGCTCCCGAGTAATCCTTTTCCCCCTTCTGGCACTCATACTGCTGTTTGTAATGTTATTCACAGGCTCTACTACATCACCACCCAGTGATTTATTAACGTATATGCTTTTATTGTGTAGTTAAATATCTTGTACACCACTCCCAAAATTCTTATATGAGTTGGTTTATAAATTCAGTGCACCAATCAATAAATCCAGCAATTTCTTGTTTTTGAGCACACCGCAGTACTTTTTCATATTAAAAAGAATCTTGAGGTACCTTAAAGATTGAAAAGGTTTTCTTTTCAGCATACTTCTCATGGATTGAATTACCAGGCAAGCATGGATTGAATTACCAGGCATAGATGTGTGAGGAACTGGCAGGAGATGGAATATAAATGCAATGTGAAAAAAATCTCCTCCTGATTTAAATGATTCTTAACAACAACTGCTAAGACCACCACCATGCTATTAACTTTTGAATTTATATTATGTTACACATATTATGACTGCAGTCCCACATGGTTTATGATAGCACAGTGCTTCCACATACAGAACTGTGATATCCCAAACCATTTACTTCTTTCTAAACCTATCATACACCTGTGTAGTGTAGTGTAGTGTAGTGTAGTGTAGTGTAGTGTAGTGATTTGAGGGCCAGGTAAACACTGCATGCCCAGAGTTTTAATTCCTGATCATCCATGGAAATGCCCTGGGTGATCTTGGGCAAATCCCATTCTCTAAGCCTCAAAGGCAACCTCGCTCAGAATATAACTTGCCAAGAATACCATTTGATAGGATTACCTTAGGGTCACCATAGGTCAGAAATGATTTAAAGACACTCAATAGCAACAGTACGAACCTACCATAGCACAACTGAAGTAATGGTAGGTCTCTAACAGAGGGGATCACAGAACTCTCTCCTTATTTCTTTACAGCCAGATGCAAAGTGATTACATCAGATACCAAGGATCCTGAATGCTGCTGCTGTGTACATTCAAGTTGTTTTTGAATTATGATGACCCTAAGAGGAATCTGTCTTTACAATATTTTTCTTGACTATATTTGGTCAGAGGAGGTTTGTCATTGCCTTCTTTTGAGGATGAGAGGGTATAACTTGCCAGAGATCACCAAGTAGGTTTCCAGTGTTGAGCAGAGTTTTGAACCCAGATTTGCAGTGTCCTAGTCCAACACTCAAACTACACCCCACTGACTACCCTAATCAGGATCTAACCACATGTGTAATAAAAGTTTAATTGCCTCCTTGAAGAAAACATTCACCTGGCAGTTCTGCCTCTGGATGCAATAAAAGCACTTCTGCTCTACAGGAATTAAAGGTTTCTGTTTTGTCATAATTAGATGAATGTATGTGTCTCCCAGATAACCATGAACAATAAAGCAGTGTAGTTTCTTAGTTCGTTCAAATTGTTGCAATTCACTGGGGATGCTGTCTGTTGACCATCACCTGTGGTTAGTATCTAGGAAAATATTGATTGGAACGCTTAACTTTCCTGCGTGCACAGCCAGACAAAAAGAAAGAATGATAGGTTTTTGAAAAAAAAAATTCCACCTTATATTCACAAGCAAGTGCCTTTTAATACTATGAAAGGGTTGTAATTATGCTATAATACAGATTTCTTTTGTAAATTGTAATCCTTCATAAGATGTAAGTCATCCTTGGAGTCTTCCTCTATTGCTTATTCTATGAAGCTTTCCCTTTAAACATAGCTGTCTCAACAAAACAGGTATCACATGTAGCGATCAAAACTGGCAAAGATCAAGTCAAATCGTTGCCTTTCAGCACACTAGGCACTCTAGTGTATCCCTGGATATGGACAGATTCATTAAATATTCTAGCAATCTCTGATTTCTAAATGCAGTGGCACCAGTATGTCTAGCGAGATTATAAGATTTGCTTAGTGTCTGAACAAAAGAGGTTCTCAGTGCCATCCATTCCCATACAAGTATAATTCTAATATAAGTTCCTGCAGCTTTAAAGTTTCCAAAAGTAATAGCAGTGCTCTTATTATTTTCATAGGCATGTGCATGTTTGTGACTTCAAATTTCTTATTTATTTATGATTAAGATATATTTTCCATACAATGTGATTTATTCTTTTTCATATTTGCACTACTGCCAGTACTGCTTCTGAGGCAAGAGGCACGAATTAGAATAAAAGTCACAGTGTCAGTAATTATGGTGAAAACCTCAAACATTTTCCATGAAGTAAGCCTTATTAAATTCAGTGGGACTTCCCTCTGGGTAGGTATTGACATGGCTATGCTGTAATGTACAGATCTATAAATAAATGTCTGTATAGTTAATCCTGCAACCTGTGTATTTCTAATTCAGATGTAAGACACATTTACAATGAGACATAGAATTTCAGACTAACAGAACAAGCCTATGACTCAATTCAGAAATAAAAGCTACTAGGATCAATGAAGCTTGGTCTCCAATCAGTAGGTGCAGAATGTGTTTAGGAGTGCAACCAAAGATTTTATATCCTTCTGCTCACATAGAACTGACTTGCACTGACCTAAATGCAACCTCAGACATCCTTCACATTAATTAATTTTCAATACCGACAATACCATACATAGAAATGCCCCCCCCCCCCCAAAAAAAAGCTGTCTCACAGCCATCCAGGAGAATAATAATAATAATCAGTGTAAATATCTCTTTGTCATGGTTCCAGTTTCTTTCCAATCTTGGACACTTGTTTCACATTATCAAGAGTGTGATTGGGGGTATTTCAATACAATGCAAAAATGCAAAAAAAATGTGATGATCTCTTCTTTTATATATGGTAAGAGTATTAGCATGGGATGGGTCAATTGTGAGAGTCCTTTCATCAATAACACTGTACTTTTGTGCTTTGTGTGTAGGTGAATATAAGCACACACCTAGATTCACTTTGTGCGATGAGGAGTAATGCACAAAGTACCATATTTAGCCAGATGTAATAGTTTTAAATTAAAGGAGAGTAGATTTTGATTTAATATTGGAAGAAATATCTTGACAGTCGGAATGATATGACAATGGAACCAACTGCAACAATTCTCACATCACAACATCTTCTGACTCATAGAAATGATGTGATTGACTCCTAGTGATTAGTTATGCCTGTTTAAGGTAATTAGCTGAAATACTTATTATTAGAAACAGAACAATAATGACAAATACTTTATTGAAACAGTATCACACAGAGTTCTATATGTGTCATACAGATTTCAAATTAAAAACCACCTACAGCTGTATAAAATATAATCATCTATTCAATGCAAATGACTCACACCTGTCAATCAAATAAATGACAAAATTAACAATCTTCTTTTTGTATTTTAAAGTTTGGCTTTTCAAAGACCCAATGCAATGAACTCACCTTCTCTGATCACTCATGTTCTATAACCACAGAAAAGGGGGGTTGATTATTTTCATGGTAAAGCGTACAAGAATTATAGAGTATTCCCAGACAGGGAAAGCAAACTTTCTCAACTCACTAATATGAGAGGGTCATGCAGTCCAATTGATGCCATTGCTGTCCACCTTGGGCTGATGGTATTGACTCCACAACATATCTGAGGCTGGATCTAGACTTTCATACAATGCAATTTCAGAATGCAGATTAACTGCATTGAACTGAATTATATGGCAGTGTAGATT